GTGTAGGGAGGAAGGCCCTAAGTACGACTTTATGTGCAAGAGAGGAGAGTTGAACCAAGCTAACAATAATGAAAAGCAAGTCAAGTGGCACTGAGGAAGGGAGCTTGCGTGCGGATGGGTAAGGGCATCCGACCGATGGCTTGTAGAAAGGTTAGGGCTTTATTATGTTTTTTTATATTACATACATATTTAATTAAATAATATTTAATTATTCTTTATGAACTTAAAATTAGAATTTAAATTATAAAAGCATGAAGAATTTGGATTAGATCGAGGAAAGTTGACGATAGTGAAGGTAAATGTTTAGTGTTTTAATTATATAAGTTATTTTATTTCGTTAATTAAATGTTATTAAATTATAACAACTATTAAGACCAAAGAATATTGATCCTAAAAAAAATTAAATACAAGGAGTCAATGGGATAATCAAGCAAGAATTGAGATATGTAATTATATTTCTAAATTTTAATATCATTATTTCTAAATGTATATTAGATTTCATTTATGCTTCATTTCAGTGAGATTTAGATTATAGCAAATTTCTTCATATTAATAGTCATATAGTATGCATATTAAAACTGTTGTAAAATAGTTTCATTTTAGTTTTCCTAAGAAGATGTTACCACATTATAGTTTTCTAAGAACATGTCACTTTAGTATATGATATGTAAATTCCATATATGTGCATAAATTAGTTCATTTCATGACCTATAACTTTAGTAAGAGAATAATTATTTATTAGTAGATAAATATAAAGTATCTCATAAGAGAAGAATGTATGTTATGAATAATGAAATAGTTTATATATAGATGCTTGTATGTACATGCAAAGAGAAGTTCACCCCCTCATGATAAGGCAAGGTCGTCATTGCACCGCGCATGTAGATGTTTTTCCTACCACACAAGAAATTGTGATGTTTAGATCTCTAGCAGCTGTGCTGATGAGCAAATATCGGTCAGGGACGAGTAAGCACCTTTCCACATTAGACAACCATGTAAATTAGATCACGAACCGTTGTGCCGATAAGATAATATCAGTCATGGGTGTATTAGGTTATGCTTTGATGGTGCTCCTAAGACAGATGTAAATGTTAAGAGTATAAAGTAACAGTTAAAGTTAATGCATATAAGAAATTAAATTTGTTACACTAAACAAATGTCATTGATACATAGATTAGATTACTATAAAATTTTATTTTTATAGAAATATGAAAGATTAACATGTATATTGTTTCTTTTATTTAGCTTATTGTAGTCTAGAAACGTGACTAATCTCGGGTTATTTTTAGATAACTCGTTATGTTGGTTTAAATATGTGTTTTAAGGCTTAAGCTTTTGATTAAGATAATGTTTAAAGAGGCGTAGGCGACATATAGACATTTAAGTTATTTCCATTCAATTATTATAAGATTTTTTTATATAAAGTAACAGTAAAAGTTAATTCATATAGAAATTTAAATTATTTCCATTAAGTAAATGTCATTGATACATACATTATATTATTATAAGATTTTATTTTTATATAAATGTGAAAGATTAGCATGCATATTGATTCTTTTCTTTGGGTTACTGTAGCTCATAAATGCGATTGCTCATGGGTTACTTTTAGATAACTCAAAATTTTGTTTTAAATATTTTTTTTCAGGCTTACGCTTTTGATTAAGATGAATACTAGAGGAGATAATGTTTATAGAAAGCGTAGGCAACAACCTAAAAAGTAAATTTTATTTGGTTAATTTAATTATTTTTTTTGGTTGCTCTTTCAATTAATTTATGGATAATAACTATTAGTGATAGAAATAGAATAATATAAAACTTAATTTCACCATCCGACCATCGTTTCCTTCTTTGTTAAATCCAAATCCTGGGTTGAGTCGTGACAAATTATGTCAAAAAATCAAGATCCACCCTAGTTTCATATTTAAAAGAACAATTCATCTAAGAAGTCAAGTACATGTGTGAACCCATTGTATAGGGTTACCTTGAATTAATGATATATTTTGTCTGCTTTATAGTGTCATGATTTTTAAAAAGAAAATTTTAAAAAGAAAGTAAGTTAAAAATACCTGAAGGACTAGAAGCACCAAAAATAAAAAGCATGACCTAAACTCTGAAGATATAGAAGGCAAAAAAATGACCCAATATATAATCCATTTAGATCAGCTTTTACACATCTTTCCTTTTTAAACATCAACCATACCCTTATTTGGCTACATTTACTTGCTGCATTATTAGAAATTTTTGTGGAAATAAAAATCTTTTCATAACCATAATATCTAATATAGTGTCATAGTTATATGAAAGTTGCTATCAAACTTTTCAAAAAGGGAAAAAATTAAATACCACAATAGCAATCAAAATATTACTATCTCCAAAACAATTTTTCATTAACTTTTAAAGAAAGTTGCAACCACCCCAAACAGGCCCATAATCTTTAAATCTTTAAAATTAAAAATATGACTAATATGAATTTTAGAAGGCAGCTCAACCAAACTCGCACTAGAATTGTAAATACATATGAATTGAGTGGTATGTATGTAAATGCCCCAAAAAAATTAACCTGGGGGCTTTTTTTATTTTGCATGCTTAAAATGTTAGGGTTAATGTTAAAACCCATAACTCATGCTTTAAAGTCTAGTAAATTTGGAAAATTTTCAGCAAAATTTTAAAACTTGAAAAGGTTATAAGAACTTCTAAAATATGTATCCAAACTATCGACATATGAATCAAATCTCAAGTTTGTTATAAAAGCAATAAGAAAAAATGATTTTTTTTAGCCAAACCAAACCCCTCTATACTTAATTAGCATGAAAAATTTATAGAATCCAACCCACCATGTGTTATATTATTTTTTTTAACCTTCGAATGGTTTCTATCATCATTTTTCTTTTGTATGCGTGCTTTTTTTTTTTCAAAAATTGGCGAGTATAAAAGTGCTTGTTGTACTTTAAATCATAATATTTCTTCAAGCATAGGCATTAAATTCAAAATAATTGGTTTCAAATATAACAGTAAATTTATCTAAATTATATTATTCGATAAAATCCATTTAAAATTTAAATTCTATTTTACGGATAAGCTCGGAATCAAAACTTGAATAAAATTTTAACATAAATGTCCACCTTCTTTAACTCCTATAAATAAAAGGAAAAAAGGAGCCTACGAAAACTGTAGAGTTGCAAAAGATGCTAATTGCAAAGCAGTAATAGTATGCAAAAAAAAATTTGCAAACTTTCAAAAAAAAAAGTAATAAGTTACCTCATGATTCACATAATCTGACATTACATGTTTTTGCAGAATCCCCCAAGGATCCAAGTCCAATGGAAACTGCATAAAAAGAATATATAAGCTTCAGCAAAAAAATGCAGGTAAAGAACAGAATAAAGATGAAAGAACAACATTGCAAGTGATTGCAGGGTAAAGAATAAAGATAAGGCTTGCAAAATTATTTACATATCTACCTCTGTTCCTAGATGAGCAAGTAATGATAAACGAACACTTGATCCCCCAGAAACTGTTACTTGCTTGTATGCTTCAATGATACGCGTAAATGCCACTTTTTGCAGATTATCCTTTTGTTCATCAGTAAGATCTACGTTGCAAATTACCATCTTTGGAAGAAAAAATTGGGAAGAGGAGGCATGGGAAGATGTGGCCGGTGTCTCATTTGCTCTCGGGCTAAGGGTCTCAAAAGAATAACTAACATTAGAGGTGGAGGGAGAAATATCGAGAGAAGCCGTAACACCTGAACTTATGGCATGCTCTGGAGTTCGCTCCTTAATTTCGTCCAACCGGAAGGATGCATCAGGTGATTCCTGAGTTTCGTTGAAACAACTACTTGAATCAAGACCAGGTATTTTTTGCTCTATTGTCTCGGAATCATTCTCATATACTTGTAAACCCACATTATTCTTCTCAATAAAGAGAGAATTTGTGGCTTCAGATGCATGCATCTGAGGCAATATCTGAGCATGATCTGCACCAAAGCTCGTGAATTGTTTTTCCTCCTTTATTATAACTTCATCTTCACGTTTGATGTGAATTGTCTGCATCGGACAGGGTAGTATAACAGTAGATATCTTTAAAACACAGTACCAAATAGGAAGATTTACATACATACCACTTAATTCATATGTATTTACAAATCTAGCAGGTAAAGTTCAATTTTTACATATCTGTCACCTTAACCACGCATAAAAAGATATATTTCACCTTTTAAAAGTTAAAATAGTGGGGTGTTTTTTATGTGATATAAAAGATTCGGTTGATATAAATGTAAATAGTAAAGTAGCTATTAAATGTGTAAATACATAGGATTAGGTGGTATGCATGTAAATGCCCTACCAAATGTGAAACCTGCAAAATTGCATCAAAAGAAAATCATTTAAATACATAGCACATAATTCTTAAGTACTTACAAATCTCACACCTAAACTTTCATATTTACACACATAGCATTCAAATCTTTAATATCACATCAAAAATAGCACTATTACTGTTTCTTAAAAGTGAAATACATAGGTTTAATGGACCAAGTGCTATGTATGTAAATATGAAAGTTTAGGTGTGAGATATGTAAATACATAAGAATTATGTGCTACGCATGTAAATTTCTCAGGAAAATAATATAGAAAAAATATATAAACCAACTTACACTCATGTTCTGAGATGGAAATTGTTGCAAATTTAATTGGGATGTGACTAATGAGAATGCGTTTGATAATGAGAAAGCATTCAAAGCAGAAGTTGAAGACGGCAGACCAGACACGCTACTTATAGGGTGGTTTGATTCGTCCTCCTCATCTGCCTTAGGACTCAAAGATGGAAGATATCGCATATTAGCCATAACAACTTCAGCAAGCAAATCGGAAGAGATGCTCGAAATAAGAATCTCCAATGGCTCCGAAGCTTTTTTTCCTTGTGCGACCAAGGCGCCGAACATTCCGACGAGTTGAAGCACTGGACCAGAGTCTTCACCCCTAGTATAAGGCATAGAATCGCACAAAGGATGTCCCATTTGAACAGAATCTGTAGTCGTCGGTGATTGTCTAATCCGCTTCTCAGATACGAAATCATCGGCTAAAGCTTCTTGAGAATCTTCATCTAGAGATCTTTTACGGCCCGGATCACTATGTACCTCGTCAGATGCTTGCGATAAGGATTTATCTTCCATAAGTTGTTTCAGCTAAATGTTAATAAGATTGCGTAAATAAGCATACAATTAAAAAAAGGTCGAGCAAGATGAAGATGTCACGAGAAATTAGAAATTTGTACCTTACTGGACAGAGAACCACCCACATCAGAAGCTGCAGCATCTAGACTTTTCTCTTGCTTAATTAGTTGTTCCTTCGGCTCCCCACTGTTCATGATTCTTAGAGCTTCGACCAAGCGAGCACGCCACTGCAAAAATTACAATCAGAAGTTTTAATGTTACTTATAAAAAAATTCTAAGACTCGTTAACAATAATGGGGCATTTACATACATAGTAGACAATTCTTCGTATTTACATATCTCACACCTAAACTTTCATATTTACATACATAGAAATCATTCTTTAAGATCACATAAACATAGCACTGTTACCAGTTTTTAAAAGTAAAATACAACTTCCCATGCATAGTTTGAAAGCACCAAAGTGCTATGTTCGTAAATATGAAAGTTTAGGTGTGAGAAATTAAATAGTAATACATAAGAATTGTGTGCTACGTTTCCCTACAATAATTTAGACGCAGCAACAGTGAGCCAAAGGTATGTATTTATTTTTGTTTGGAGGCATGAAGATATATCAACATTCTATAACCATAAAAAACTACATGAAGCACTTGCGTTTAGGGATAATTTCCAGTCGAACAACAAGACAAATATGTAAGAAAGGTAGAGATAAATATTAGTAAAACTAAAATGGAATTATCGGAGATCAAGCACTACTGGATATAAAAAAAAAAAAAAAAAAACTTTTAAAATAAAAAAAGCAGCTTGACCATAACAGACATTTTGATAAAATAAAGAACATGAAAATCAAGAAATCGCGACTTGAGGTATGGATTCTGCAAACATCATATAAATTGACATTTGATGTTCAAGGACCACCCTTCAAATATGTCAATGTTTAAAATTTCCTGAAGGGACATTCACATACATAACACACAATTCATATGTATTTACATATGTCATACCTAAACTAGCATATTTAACACTCAAATCTTTAATATCACATCAAAAATAGAGTTATTAGCACTTTTCAAAAGTGAGATACACCGTTCTATACATAGGTTTAAAGCAGCAGAGTTATGTATCTAACTATGAAAGTTTAGGTGTGAGGAAATTGTCTGCTACGTATGTAAATTTCCCTTTCCTAAATGCAAGAAAATTAGAATATGAAAAAAAATAAAATATTCAATATCCAAATACTCTTAAGGACTGCAGTACACAAAAGGATTATTTGCAGAAAAGAACGTGAAAATGAAAGGAAAAAAAGGATCATCTCCAACAAAAATATACCTAATTACTTGAGAAATTTAAGTTTTCTGCAAACGAAGAATGTACCTCATCACTTAGGTTGTCTTGGTTGATCCAAGATTGCTTTTGAGAACAAATTTGACTTTTTTTTTAATGGATGAATGATATCAAACCTGACTTGAGCTATAGATCCCTTGTTCGGGTTTGTATTTTTTGTTTGCTTATGGTAAAACGAGTTTGATTGGATGTAAGAGAGATGAATATGGGTTGCAAAGTCTCTTATTTGTACAAATAAAAATATGTCAACACAAATCTCAAGGCAAATGAACGGTTCGGGAAGATAATATTGACGATTAGGCATATTGTTGACGACCGCCTTGAGTTGGATGTTGGCAAGGAAGACGTCTTATTCGAGTGATAGGCAGAACGTGCTAGAAGATTTTCCGCAGGGCGGAGATTAGTCCTCAGGATGATTGACAGGAGGCTCTCTTTAGGATTAGATATCAATCAAGTCAAAGCTCACATGACGGTCGACAAACTATCGATCGAATCGGTCCTACGATATGGTTATATGCAAATAACTCTGTAATTATAAGAAATCCCACTGAAAAGACAATGATGAGAGGATCAATATGTACTTTTGTAATATTGTGACTTATGTCTATAAATAGGGGGTTCATATCAACAATAAAAACTATCTCTTTTACTGTTTTCTATTGTATTCTCTCTCTCTAATCACTTCCTAGTAGATTGCTCTATTCCTTCAGTGTGTTTCCCGGACACTTTTTGATTCATCCTTTAAGATGGGATGAGCGTAGAAACAAGCCGTTAACAAGAAGAAAAGCACAGTAACAACAACAGGGAGAGTCCGGTCAAAGGACGTAGTAGAAGCAGCATGCACCTTGCAGTTTATGGATGAATTCGTTCAACAAGGCTTGCAAGATTTAAGAACTCAGATCACCAATCAGATGTCAGGACAGTTCGCAGAAGTACTTAGAGTGGTCGTTGCCTTAACAGCGGCCCCAACTCCAAGAGAAGAGCCAACACGATAATGAGCACTCAACTCCCCTCAAGGGGAACCACCAGTTAACAAAGGAAGGAGGGTGATCCACCTGCATGAAAAGTCCGACGACGGTCTATACCAAGACAGTGTCGAATCCGCCCCCGTGGAGGAGAGAAACCGACCAGTGTGAACCGAGGTACAGAGGCAGCTGGAAAACACCTTCTTTCTATAGATTTCCAGAGTGAACCTCTGGAGAAGTTCAAAAAGCCGGTCTTAGAACCATATAAAGAACAGTCGAATCCTAACGACCACCTCGCGTCATTTGAATTGTCCATAAGCCTGTTGAAAATTTCTGATGTCCTCAAGTGTAGCTCTACTTCACCATTTTGAGACTAACCGCATTAAGGTGGTTTGACAGATTGCCAGTGGGGTTAATCACCTATTTTGAAGAGTTCAGAAGACTTTTCCTATTGTTATTTGCCAGTGCCCTGAGGCTTAAGAAGAGCGACTGATCACTGTGGCAACTAAAGCAGGAAGCCAACGAGAGCTTGTGGTTGTTTATCGCACACTTCCAGAGCGAAACGCTGGACTTCAAGAACTTAAAGCCCAATAAGGCCCAAACCACGCTGACACAAGGAGTGAGGTCGGAGAGATTTCGTTTCAACCTTGAGCTAGCAAAGCCACAGAGCTTGACTGAACTGCTAGAGATGACCAACAAGTACATAACCGCCTATGAGAATTCCCCAAAACCAACCGAACAGAGACACCGGAAGAGGCTATCGCAAGATAGTCGGAGCCCCCCCCAAGACAAAGTGCAAGGCCGGTCATATGCCCCCACTACGAAGGCCCCTCTAATAATAACTACAGCCACCGTCACGAGGATATACAAACGAAAGCCCCATACTCTAGATCATCTCAGTATCATGAATCCCGAGGAAATCTCTGAGTCCCTCAGGAAACCCCACTGAGGGTATTCATGGTGGAAATAGTGGACACTATTTAAGATAACGAGTTCATCAGGAAGGCAATGTCGATGAGAGCCGGAGCTTTCCTCGATTGCAAGTATCATAGAGATCACGAGCATGAAACGAAAGAATGCAGACACTTGAGAAGCATGATCAAGGAACTGATAAAGGAGGGGAGGTTGAGAGAATTTGTCGCCCCCTGGAGCCACGACCCAAAGGCGGGGCAAAGCTCCTACAAGAGAAACGACCAACAGGCCCATCCACACCAACGCCATCAACATCGTGGGATATGTGCCCACAATCTTCAGAGGAAGCAAACCATCTATGAGAGCGAACCGAAAGGGACAACAAACGGGATAGCTCTGCACAACAAAATTTGCTCTGAAACCTAAGAGTAATCCACCTATTTATTTTACCGATGAGGATCTCCCACCAAAAGGAAAACCCATATAACAACACCAATGTAATAACGACGAAAATCAATAATTATCAATCAAGAAGCGTTCTCATTAATACAGTGAGTTTTGTGAATGTACTATTTAAGCAAGTATTTAACAAATTGAGTTTCACTGCCGATCGGATGACTGTGGTGATTGGTTCGTTGTATGGATTCTTAGGTGAAAGAAAGAAGGCGTTGGGAGTGGGCGGGCTCCCGTTAAGTTGGGAAGAAAATGAGAAACAATTTACACTCATGGAAGATTTCCTCATGATGGATTCACCCCAACATATAACGCCATATTTGGTCGACCTCTACTGAATGATTTCAGGGCAGTGGTCTCTACTTACCATGTTGCTGTCAAGTTTCCTGGAGATGGAGAAATTATCACGGTCAGGTGTAACCTGGAACAGTCTCGGGTGTGCTACTTGTGAGCCATAAGCAACTTGGAGCACGACCCCCTAGACATCCAGAACATAAGGGAAGGTGGTTTCAAGATCAACGAGACAACTCGTGCAGTTTCGGCGGTTGAAGGCGAACCACATAGATGTTTTCTGATAAGTGAAGTTTTTTATGCAAGTTATAGGGAGTTATTGATCCAAACCCTCTGAAAAAACTTAAGATGTTTTCGCATGGACGACCACTAAGATGTCGGGCGTGCCGATCGACATCGTGTGTCATAGATTGAACGTCGATCCATTGGCTCGACCCATGAAGCAAAAGGTCGCAAGCTCGGCCATGATGTTGACGGGACCCATTCGAGAGAAAGTACGAAAGTGGGATGAGGCGGGTACGTTCGAGAAGTGCAGTACTCCACCTGGGTCTAGCAGAAGAGCAACGGAAAATGAAGGATATGTGGACTTGACCAACTTAAACTCTGCTTACCCAAATGACTCTTACTCTCTACCAAGGATCGAAGCTTTAGTGGATTCGACGGTTAGCCACTCAGTCTTAAGTTTTCTCGACGCATTCTCCGGGCACCATCAGATCAAGATGCGTTCAGCTGACACGGAAAAAATCGCTTTTAATACTTGTCAGGGAGTTTTTTTGTTACGATGTAATTTTTTTCAGGCTTAAAAACGTAGGGCGACTTAGCAATATCTCATGGATGTAATTTTTGCTAATAAAAAAAAGAAGAAACATTGAGGTATATATTGATGATAAATTGGTTAAGAGTCGATCAGCCGAACAACACATTGAGGATCTAAAAGAATCATTTCTAACACTTAAAAAATTTAACATGAAACTAAACCCACTGAAGTGCACATTTGAGGCCGCAACAGACAAATTCCTAGGATATTTGTCATCCCCTGAAGGCATAAAGGCTAACTTGAAAAAGACTCGAACAATCTTCGATATGTCCTCCCCTAAAAACACCAAAGAAATCCAGAAACTAACCGGTCGGATCACAGGTTTAAGCAGGTTCATCTCCAAGTTAGGTGATAAGTGAGCCACATTCTTCAGAGTACTCAGAAGAGCCAAAAGCTTTGAATAGACACCTCAAGAAGGAACCTCAAGCAGTTTCTCGGCTCTACC